TGCCCTGGGGGTAGACTGAGGACACTCACATTCGGTACTTTTTAAAGGGAAACAGACAAGCTTCTTTCTTATCTAGACGTTTATAGCCTGACCTTACGGATTCATTCCTATCTATAAACTCAAAGGCAAAGAGGCAGAAAGAAGATCTTGGCTTTCCATTCCTTCCCTCTCCTTTACCACTCATGCTCTTTGGCACCTTTCTTTGGTTGTCATTCTACACAGCTATTGTGACTGACACTTTCTTTTATACAATGTGAACAACAACAGCAACAAAACAACCGCATTGTTTTTATTTTCCAGTACAAAATAAACGTTTCTTTGCTTGGCAGCTAACTTCTTAATGAAAGTGGGGCAACATTTGCAGGTTAAGTGAAGCAAATCTCCAAATTGGCTGTGTTAGGACATTGTAGGCATAATGTATTATACAGCAAACGTGCTTAAGCAGTTCATACTTTCATTAACTCTGGTACCTAAAATGGGGACATGTGCATTTCCAATGTAAACAAAGTAAGAAAATCAATATCAATATTCACTCAGTGGTTGCTCACTCTCCAGGTGTCAGAACTTCTCTGTCACTGTGCCTGGATATATGCCAAGAGAAGCACGGGCACAAGGTTAGACTTGCTTGAATAGAATTTAATATAAAATGTCATTTCAAGGTATTTCTCCTATTATTTTTCTATTCTATCTTCTCTGTAAACACAATTCAATCTTCTCTGAAAATTTTTTTATTTAACTATAGTTGATTTACAATGTTGTGTTAGTTTTAGGTGTTCAGCTTCAGATTCTTTTCCATTATAGGTTATTACAAGATATTGAATATAGTTCCATGTGCTATACGGTAAATCCTTGTTTATCTATTTTACATATAGTAGTGTGTGTATGTTAATTCCAACTTCCTAATGTATCTCTCCCCTTCCCCTTTCCCCTTTGGTAACCAGAAGTTTGTTTTCTTTGTCAAACATGATTCAATCTTAAATCTGGTTTAAAAGACATGAAATTAATAGTCCAAGTAGTTTGAATTTGAGAAATCAGGTAGAGTGATCCCCTTGGTGTTTGTTAGTTTTGAGGTGAAACCATTCTATTTATTCTTTCATGCACTTATTTATCAAATAGGTATTAAGTACTTACTATAGGCCAGGAATCATGTTAGGCCATAGACATACAGTGATACTGAAACAGTTACAGTTCCTGCTGTCACAGCTGCTGAGCATCTACTGGAAAAGAACATTTAAAAAAGTAATTATAATGATATCTGGGCTAACAGTTACAATAAGGGATAGAGAGGGTGCAGTGGAACTATATGGCAGGAGATAAAGCTACCAGACTAGCTTGGGCAGCCATCAGCGGGATGCACAAAGGTGTAGAGCTTTCAAGGGCTTCCGCAATCTCAAGCAGCCCCACTGCAAAACCACTCCAAGTAAATATATAACCCAGATAGGTGCAGTGTGCTTGCAGTGCAAAGGCCACTTCCAGGTAAGACTGCTACCCCCACTCCACACAGATTGCTGCTCCTAAACCCTTCCAGCAGAGGAATTCAGAGGCTTCCACTACAAGGGAACTAACTGATAAGGATCAGGGAAGGCTTGCCTAAGAAAGTGCTGTTTCAGCTGAGATTTGGTGAGGCAGGGTGGGCGTGGGGAATGTTTCCAGCACTTAGAGGAGCATACCTTTCCTGGGCCAGCTTAATGTGTGCCCACAGTAAGAAAACTTGCAGCTTTGGATTACTCCAAACACTATCCAGCTGTAAAGTGATTGTCAGCACAAGATTAATTCAGGGTCTAAGCTTTACTTTCCTGTGTAGACATCATTAGAGTAGCTTAATTCCTGGGCTATGTTCTTGGAAATACACTTTTCTATAAGTAGCAATCCTTTATTTAAAAACCTGCATTAATGAGGATCCAGGCTGTAATCCTTAGCTTTTGAAAATACCCTTATCAAGGCTTGGATGCATTCAAAAGAGTTACAGAAAAGTGAATCTTTAAAATAGTCATTCAGGACATATGAGAATTCTTGGAATTCTTGTTAAAACACAGACCATTTCTATTAAGAAAGTCACACTTTGTCTAGTACCATAAACCCTTGCCAGGAAAATGTTTAAAATATAGCTAAATCAAATACCAAAATAATTGGGTTTTTTTTTGTTGTTGGGGAAAAATAATTTTAATCTAACCAATCAGAAGCAATCAGTACAGATGAATGAGGATAGTAGCTATTATCAAGGCTGGCTCATGGAACACTGATTACTGAATGGAATTCAGAATAAAGGAGTTTCCTCTTGGACATCACCCAACCATCTTTCTGAAAGTAACGAAACACAATATCCTCTCTGAGACACTCCTATAGCCAGAACCATAGTAACAGCATTAAAGCAATATCCCAGCTGCGTATCTATTTTCCACCAACACAAACTGATCAACTCTGTTGAATAATGTTCACAGGAGCTGCATTGAATGCTACCTGTCTGCAGATGGCCAGGCCGGAGAAGACTGTGTTGACAAATGCAAATTAGCTGGTGCGACCATCAATGAACAAGAAGGTTCTACTCGTTTGAAATTGCTTTCCTTTCCTTTGCGCAGTTTTGGAGAGGCAGAAATTCAGTGGAGGGCTCTTCAGTAGCTCGACCTCATTTGTACTAGGGTGTTAATTCACTCGTATTCATTTCTTAGAGTAAATGCATTCCAGAAGAGTCTAAATACTTGATGGTTTGGGAGACAAGCAATTTAAAGTCCCCGCTATGCTATTTGCTCTGTTGCAAATTCATCTCTGCTTAATACATGCTATTGGAGAGAATTCCAGAATGCTACATTTTTTTGAATTAGAAGAGTGGAAAATTGAAGAAATAGCTAAATATTAACCTCCTAACCTGAAATCATCCTCTGTTGTCTGATTACCTTATTTCACGATAGGACAAAGTAAGGTATAATATGGGTTTTCTGACAGCAACTCTCAGACACCAGGCAGTTTCTGGTTAGTGGCCATTTTTCCTGCCCTCCCCTGCATATGCTTTTACTCCCAGCTTTCCATACATGGGCATTACATGGTCATCTTAATTCCCTGTTGCCTTGGTCCCAAACTACAAAAAGGGCCTGTTACCTTTAACTGCTAAGCAAACTCTGCTCTTGCTTCCACCTGCCATTTTTGAAGTTACTTACTTAAAATCAGATTCTTTCTAATGGCAAGATGTTATCTCAAATCTGTAAATTCGTTGTATTTTAGCTGGGAAGGCATTTAAAAAATAACTGTGAACTTTAAAACAAAGCCGATGACTGACTTCTCCCAAAGGGACCATCTGGGGGGATTTGTTTTTCCATCATCACAAACTCCCTGCCTTACCCTGCTGCTCAGGTAGGGACATTGTTCTGCACGCCTCAGAGGCACCGCCACGGTGCACCTCAGGAGGAGTGGGATAACCAAGACGATAATTTATGACACTCTAGGATATGTATCTTGAATAGACGAAGCTAGAATACAGAAATTAATCCATTTCCAAAGTGAAATAAGGTTAGTGATATTTATATTGTTTCGAAACTTACCAACATTGTTTTAAAATTGAGGTTTCTGACTGTGCACAGTTAAATAACCCTGTATGGAGGGGCGTGATTAGTGGTCATGAAACCCCTTGCCTGTGCTTTTCTGGTGCCTCAGATAAATATGCCAAATAACCATAAATTGGACAAGACTGTATGTACCTTACACTAATACCGAAGGTAAGATGCAGTAAAAGCACCGAGTAAAGTGCGATTTGTAGCCTATCCACATTAGTAACTAGTACAGAATCTCAGCATATCCTTCTGGCTTCATTTCACAGCAAACAGTTGGGATATTTACCAAGTGTTTTAAAGAAATGACTAAAAATTGCAGGAAATGCCCTGCAAATGACTAGAACTGAATTGATTAGCAGCATGAGAAATCTAATGTGCTGAGGGGGAAAAAGAAGTAAACCTTGGAAACATGTAAATCATGAACAGGGAATTACTATATTTAAATACACAGTTTTCTGCGTATGGGTTATCATAAATGCTTAGATTTAAGAGGAAGATAAGATCCTCAAGTGGCATTTAAAATTTTTGCATTATTCTTGTACGATTGACTAAATTACCTTCAAAATAGGGGACTACAACTATTTCTAACTCAGAAATCAAAAATAATAATTGGATTACCAGTATGATTTAAAGCACTAATCTTGGTGAATTCGAGAGAAAAACTATCTTTGTCAGCCTGTGATTTAAAAAAGTCACTCTTCTAATGGGACTTTTTATAAGTCCTATTTCAAGTTACTCATCCAGTTAAGTTATTGATCATATCATCTTGAACTTATCACAACATATTTGTTCTTCCATGGGGTCTTTTATCAGCCCATTCTTCCCTTAATAAGGACATGGAGAGTAAAGTAAGATAACCATAAACTTCAGAATCTGAATAAATTATTCCTCACCTGTGCTATGGTGACTTGTGTATTTCTAAGGACATGTGGTTTAACTTTATTCACTCCATCTTACTGAAGTAGAAATTTTTAATTTACCCCAATATTCATGTACTCAGAGCATTGTTACTCAAAGTGTGTTCCATGGAACACTAGTTCTGAAAGTGTTAAACGGACAAAAGCACCCATGGTCATATAAATTTTGTAAATGGGAAGCTAAGCTTTTTGTTTTCTTTGCAAGACTGAGAGTTGTCATGTATATTAAATTAAATGTGCATTGTGAATTTGCAGGAGAAGCAAAGGGAGGAATTAGAGTAAGGAGGGATTCTCAAACTTATTTGACCACAGAACTCTTCCCACCCCCACCTTGGGAAACTGTTTTCTCTGAGAACTACTGCCTCAGCCCCAAAGGCGAGGTCTGAAACACATGGTTATCTTGATTCAATGGTGCAGACAGTTTATATTTTCCACATCTTTTCTGGACCTTCCCAGACCCCAGCCTTTTCACCTCCATTCTCACATTTCTTCCTTTTCTAAGTATGATTTCACGGACTGCCTGAGATCTTATTTTCATCGTATTATTCTAGAACAGCACTGCTAGCACTCATAAAAGTGGGTAAGAAAGAAAGGTCCATTTCTAATGAACCAACAAAGGAAAACCTTAGCAGCTCATTATGCAAATCTCCAGCCCAAGCTGGGCCTTTTCACTGCACATTCAATAATGCATTTTAATACCCAAACACTACAAAACAGGCTAAATCTAGAGTCATAACAGTCATGAAAAGGAGTGGTGAAGTAATTAAAGCAAGAAGGGAGTCGTGACTCATAGGTCATATTAGAGGTTCCATTAAAACTTTAAAAATCCTGGCCAAGTAAATTAAGCCTCCCTGTGCTTCAGTGTAGCTCTTTAAGGGAAAATAAAAAAGCAGGATTAATATTACTGAAAGGAGTATTATGAGCTGTCCACATATTTTCTATCTGAGAAAAAAATGTTCCATTAAGTAAGTTTGAGAGGAACAGGGCGGGTGTCCACTGTTACGGCAGAGACAGGGAGGGAAGGAAAAGAAAATCCAAAAAAAAAAAAAAATAGCATATTCCCGGAGACTTCATGAATCCTTGCTAACTGGATGGTTTGGTAGGAGAATGTGTGGTGGAGGTCATCTAAAAATGACCAAAGTATGAATTATATATACAGTTCTGTTGCTGTCAAACACATGAAATAACACAAATTTCACTAATCAGGTGCTGCCCAGAGGTGCCCAAACCTCTTCATCAGAATACCTCATTAAAAATACTGTTAACAATTCACTAAAATGCAAGCTCCTGTCCAAACCACGGACTTCTCAAATCAGAATAGCCAGGGTGGGTCCCTGGAATCCATCACTGCAGAACTCTGAGGTGATTTAGATGATGGTAAACACTTAGGACCAGATGAGAATAATTTGTAATTAGATTTCTTAATATTCCTATGTAAATAGATGCTTCTAATGGATTCAAAGACAGTTTGTTCACTTAAATTTATCCTCTGAAATCTTATTAATAATGCCAAATGTTTTACTAGTCCCTGTTGTGATAGATAATACAGGCATGCTTCTTACAGACTCTGGCATGAGATGTTTAACTTATAAATTAAATGCAAAAACAACTTAATTTTCTACCTTGCTATGGCTATAGCATTGTTGAACCAAAAAATAGACTATTACTTAATTTTTCTTTGTTAGAATCAGAGGAACACATGTAGATTCTGTTTTATTAAAATCTTTTTATGTTGAAGTTAATGAGAAAAGTTATAGGTCTAACAAAGCTATGTCCAAGATTATCTGGGACAGTCCCAGTTTTGTATTCTGACCCACTGTGTCATAATACACTAATTTTGGATCATATGTTTTAAAATTTTAGGATAAGAGCAAAAGGTCATTCTATTTACAGGTTTCTGAAAAAAAGTGTTTGTAACAGTATCATTAAAAAGTCTCTAACTTAGAAGATAGGAGAACTTTAAGAAAGTTTTTTTTTTTTTAATTAGAAAAATCCTATGTAATTTTGGCATAGGTGCCAGATCACTAAAATGGCTCATAAATAGTATTAGCATCTTAGACTGACCATTTTACTATATTATCAATTTCGGTCATGACATTCATTTTCTGCTTCTTGACTAAGCTCAAAATTTTTCTTCTACTTGGAAAAGATTTGAGGAAAACTGAATTTTTTTTAATTGAGAAAAGGGCTATACTGAGTGGTAGACCAACTGTCATCCTGGTCTCCTTTTATTCTGGGATTTACCTTTATCCTGGTGGTCCCTGAGCTACATAACACTTCAATTTCCATTTCCTCATATTAATTTATATTTACTGTTTTGACAATACGTGGCCAGCAATCTTGACTATGCCATTGTGGGAAAGGCCCCTTTAGAAATACCACTATCAGTTTGGACTGTGTAGTCCCTTTCCGAAACATAATCTCAGCTTCCTCCCTGATGCTCTCAGCCAAGGAGAACATATAGCTTCCTCATTACCATAATCAGAGCCATCCTATTCCCAAGACAGCTAAGCGTACCTACCTTGAAGTATTTTACTCTACTGAAATCCTACCACCATCATTTTGATGGGTGCATTCGATGGTCAGTCCTGACTGACCACACCTGGAACTGTTCTTCTGGAACAGGAGTAGAAACTAAAACCTCAGTGGGTAGGGAAAATTCTATGTCTTTTCTATTCCTATTCTGCAATGTTGAAAATTCCTATTTGTATAATAAAACTCAGTGCTACTTTGCTTTAAAACAAAATCTCTTTTGGAATCTCATTTAACCTAATGAATGACTGTTTTATCTACAGATTTCTCAAAGGATAGTTCTGTTTCCTGTTCTCTGCGAGGAGAAAATGAATGTCTTATTACATTCCTGATAACTACAGATAACGAAGGGAAAACCATCATTCACAGCATTAATGAGAAAGGTGGGTGACATGCCTTCCCTTGCCAGTGGTAAGAGATGTTACCTGGGAGAGGAGAAAACAACCAGAAAGATGCTCTGGGTAGCTTGCCAGGAAAGACATTTTCAAATTTTGATGGAGTGCCTCTACTTTCCCAATGACTGAAAGATACCTGTTGAAAGGTTTGATATGTTCCAATGTCTCTTATTAAGACCAAAGAACAAGAGAAGTGTTTTTGTACCAATCCCCGAAAGCTGGCTGATGAATTGTAGAAAGGTGGACCAATTAAATGCAGTGAAAGCAAAAGGTATGTAAGGAAGAGAAGCATAGCAGTCTAAGAGAATGAGCTTTTTTTTTTTTTTTTTTTTTTTTTGCGGTACACGGGCCTCTCACTGTTGTGGCCTCTCCCGTTGCGGAGCACAGGCTCTGGACGCACAGACTCAGCGGCCATGGCTCACGGGCCCAGCCGCTTCACGGCATGGGGAATCTTCCCAGACCGAGGCACGAACCCGTGTCCCCTGCATCGGCAGGCAGACTCCCAACCACTGCGCCACCAGGGAAGCCCGAGAATGAGCTTTGACTCAGGCAAAGCTTGGCTCAAATCCTGCTCCACCACTTCCTTGACATTCTGGAAGATAATTGTCTCTCTGAGTCTCTATTTCCTCATCTGTAAAATGGGAAAAATAACAGTACTTTCTTCTAAGGGTTGATTCAAGGATTAAATGAAATAATGCATGTAAAATATGTACCAGTTCATAACCTACCTAATGGGTCTTTAAATGATAATACTGAGTCAGGAAAGATGTGAAGAGACAAGGAAGGAAGGAAGTGATCTGTAAAGGAAGTCAGAGTCTGTGAGTTGCTTCTGTGAGTTTTTCTCCCTACCAATTCATGGAGTCGGCTTGGGACTCAGGAAACCCTCAAATAAAAATCTCATCTTCAGTGAAGGAGAGAGATAAACTTGTAGCAGGTAGAAAAGAAAATAGTGGGGAAGGTATTGATACTTTTGTTGAGAAGTTCTTAAATTTTAGTAAGTTTCACCTGGGGAGCTTGTTAAACTGCCAGCCTCCTGAGTCAGCAGGCTGGATGTGTGGCCCAGGACTCTGCATTTTAACACTTCTCCAGGCGACTCTGATACAGGTGGCTTCCAGACCTTCTCTGAGTGACTCTGCCCTAAAAGCCCTGGCTGCCTTCTGAGATGCGCACAGGTGCCTCACCTTTTCTGTCTTCAGTTAATGATGTGTCCCTAAACCTTTCTGGCAGAAATGACAGCTGCATTAAATCAGACCTCTCCAGATCTTGTCAGCAGCCTCCTCCTCCTTCCCTCAAAAGCTTGAGGCCTAAGTTCCGGCCCAGACAATAGCAGCAAGGGCAGGCTAGAAGACAGATGTGTTTTGTTGTGTGTGCTGGTTTATCGGTGGGCTGACAAAGTATTAAGTCCTGAATTTGAAACCAGGAGTACCAAGCTGCCATCACTTAGGAGTGTGGAAAGCAATGACAAAATTACCAAAAAGTAAGTTCAAGACATTATGAACTAACCAAGCAAACACGATTAGAAAAGTATCACATTGCAGTGCTGAGGGTCAGGGAGGGAGGGGTTGGCACAATGCAAGAGACAAGTGTATGATGGTGACCTTGCCACTCAGGTGGGCAGAGTGCACCAGGAGGCTTGCTCTTGAAAAGCTTCTGTAAATTGACTTCTTTGAAATGCATATGAAAAGAGCATTGTAGAGGTCATTAGTTAAAATCTAAGGTGAATCCTGCTGTACAAGGAAGAAATACTTTACAGTACAAAAACCGGCCTTCTCATTATGTATTTTATAAAGTCAAATTCTTCAACTACACTCCCATCTTCTGTTTGTGACCGTGGCAGTGGCTTTAGCGAGTTCTCCTGAAATCAAAGCCATTCCTTATAATATTGATTCCATTGGAGAAGCAAGTTCCAAACAAAAATGAACTTCCAGAGTAGGTTCTGTTTTTATTACAGGGGATTTTGTATCTAGATGGTTTCATTTTGATTTTTTTTTTTTTCTTGTGAAACATGCTTTTGGTTGATAAATGCTTCCTCATTACTGAACTGTTGGGTTTTTCTTATTTATTCATCCACACAGTATGAGTGGTACATCAACATGCCATCTTTCCAAGAGCCCTCAGATGCCCTGATATCTTTTTATTAAAGCTTTTTATTCTCCCTATGCTTTTGTAGCAGGGAAAAGAGAGGGGAAAATGACCTCCCAGAAGTTTAACAGGAGTCACCTGATGGCTTCAAGGATGCTTCTTTCCTGGTAAATGTTCGAGCTCCTTGATAGGCCCGGAGCTTCCAGGGGCCCTGAGGACAGAGCTGGTCCCCAGGAATCTGTAGTCCCCTCTCACAGCTTTAAGACCAGAGAATCCCAGGGATAGCCAGTTGGAGGCAAGGAGAGAAAAGAGGCAAAATGAGAAAGGAGGATGTGAAGATTAAGGATGCCCAGTATTCTTCAAACAAATAGAAAAAAAAAACCCAGTGAAGGGTCACCATCAGTGTGTGTGTGAACATAGGGAGAGCTTCACTCGTCTTTTTTCTGGAGGAACTTTCAGCCACATTCCTGAGATCCACAGTCAGTGAATGATAGTTGGGGAGCCTTCCTAGCAGGGATATGGGTGTGGATGTTACACCCACAGTTTCCAACTTGGAGATTCCAAGCCCTTGAGGTCTTGAGGATAGAAAAGCGAGAAGGGTGCATTTGTTGTAATAATAATAATAGTAATAACAGCAGCTCTCATTTATTGAGCCCTTCCTAATACCATATACCAGGTGTTATGCTATATTTAACACCCTCAACAGTCATATAAAGCAGGTATTGCTATTATTTCCATTTTGCAGGTAAGGAAATTGAGAAGTTAATAATTTGCTTGGTCCTGCAGCAATTAAGTACCAACCCTGATTGGGGATCTCCGGCAGTTTGGCCCAGAGCCCGTGCTCTTAACTACTGTGCTATACTGCCTCTCACTGGCTGTACAAGCATCATAAATATCTGAATCCCCAAAATAGGTCAGATCAGCACTCTCCCATGTCAGATCAGCACTCTCCCATAGAAATGTTATGCAAACCACGTTGTAATTTTAAATTTCTAGTAACCACATTAAAAAAACGTAAAATAATTTTAATAATGTTTTATTTAATCCATTGCATCCAAAATATTGTTATTTCAGTGTACAATCCATATAAAATTATTGAGATATTTTACTTTTTTCATATCAAGTCTTCAAAATCAGTGTGTATTTCACACTTAACACAAAACCTAATTCTGAAAAGTCACATTTCTAGTGACTATTGAGCAATAGCCACATGTGGCAGCGCAACCAGATTGGCAGCATTAGAAACTCAGCGCCTTAGAATTAGGCGCAGCGCCGACCCAGACTGAATAGGCAACCCTGGACGGAACACAGTGATGGAGAAAACATCTTGCCCCACCTATAAATGTCTTTAGTCTGAGCATCTCAAGAAATACTAAAGAGAGTATGGAAAGTGGAAATTTCTGTTGTGTAATACCTGCTCTGGAGCTTGAGCCAAAATCCTTTCTTGAGAAATGTTTAATTCCCAATGACTCTAAGTTCTTAAAATAATTATCTCCACCAGGCCATGCCTGTTTCTCCATTATTTATTCCCTACTGGAGAGCTCTCCTAATTCATGTTCTGACTGCAGGTTCTCAGCAAGCTTCATCTTGCTTCGAGCAGGAACATCCTATGCCCCACCCCAGACATTTCAGTCAAAGATGTAGCCAGTATATATTCTCATTGACACAGGCCTGCCACTTTCTTTGCAGGAGTGTTGCTAACTTATTAGAAGCAGCCATGGTTCATTTGCTATGCTAGAAACAGTCTTTAGATCTTCATACTGTAGTACCTATTTATTAGCTCCTTTACTTATTTCTGCATAATCTCCTTAAATGGTTTTTTGGCCAAAGAACAAAAGTGTGTGAGGCCAGGCATCATGCTGTTAGGGGGCCATTAATACCCCTCAAATTCAGATCAGCTATAGATCTCACCTTGAAAGCAGCATGACTAGTCCTGTGTGTATAACCCTCCTTTTTAAATATCTAAAAGCAATAAGAGTTAGGATAAACTAAGCATGATTCATTTCCTCCCAAGATACCATGGATTTGCCTCACTTCTTGCAGAGGGAAACAGATATTTAATGATAATTTCTGTGTGGGATTTTTTTCTCCCATGAAAGCAAAGGGGGAGCTTAATTATAATGTTTCATTAAGAAATGTATCATCTCCCAGGCATATTGCAAGTATTATTAGTCATTCTGCTGTCAATGAGAGAAGGTACTGAGTAATTGCAAAATTATATTACTATCATCAATAGAGTCAAAATAACATTTCATAGAATGTTCAAGTAGAGAGGACTATACAGAACACCTAATTCCTCAAACTTCCCTGAAGATAAGAATCACTTGGGATACTTTTAATAATAAAAAATTTATGGCTCCATCTAGACCCACCGAATCAGAATCTCAGGGGTTCGGTCTAGCAATTTCAGGGGTGGGTTTAATAAGCATGAGCACCTGGGCTTAAACTTATCAGGAAGTTAAGGAAACACTAAACTGCCACATCTTTGTTTTACAGATGAGGGCACTGGGGCTCAGGGAGATGGAGGAACTTGATGGTTTCAGGCAGCTACTGTCCATCAGATGGGAATGGAGCCCATCTCTCCTGAACCCAGTCCAGGAATTTTCCAGGACACCAGGGCACTGCATTAGAGTTGAAATAAAACTGAAAGCCATGATAGTCTTCTGTCTATATATTAAAAAAGGAAGCACAATTAGTATATTTCCCAGGGGTAGGTTGTATTTAATATTGAGTATAATCTCCTATACGGTTCAAGAAAATTCATGAAAAAGTTAAGTGTGTGTGTGTGTTTGTGTGAACACGTTCCATTTCTGCTTTATCATATACCCAGAAGAGACCATCTTTAGTAAACTATACTCTTTTTATTGATCCTTTAAATATTCCATGTGTGTTAATTGTCACTGTTTTGAATTCGAATTCTTTTTGAGTCAGCCATTCAAGTGTATATCCATTTGCTTTGAATAACCAAACTCTTACTTTATCTTTTGTTCTACTTTGAATGAATAGGGCTACCCTTCAACAAGTAACTCTTTTTTTTTTTTTTTTTTTTTTTTTTTAATTCAGCAAAACAAAAGGTGTTACAAAAGGAGAAAAAGTATGGTTGGAAAATTTCATGAGAAGTGTTTTCGCTACATCAGAACATTAATTGTACCACTTTCTTAATATAATTTTCTTTGTTTCCACAGACTGTCCAAAACCTCCTAATATTCCCATGATCATGTTGGGGGTTTCGCTGGCTATTCTTCTCATTGGAGTCGTCCTACTGTGCATTTGGAAGCTGCTGGTGTCATTTCATGATCGGAAAGAAGTTGCCAAATTTGAAGCAGAAAGGTCAAAGGCCAAGTGGCAAACGGTATGTGCACACTTAGGGGCTACTCCTTTTCCTGTGCAAAAGATGGGATGTCGGCTTTCTTCTGCGCTGGGAGAGTTAGAATGTCATGCTCTTTCTCTACTCCTCTCATCATGTCCCCAACAGCTGATTTCTGTTCTGTTTTGGGGACAAAGGGACCTCTGTCCATTATCTGGGACCCAGATAGCCCTCACGGCATACATTTGTCTCTCAGTGTAATGAGGATTTCCCCTACTCTGAAGCGTCTCATGAAACTCCTTATACTGTATAGCTACTTAGGAACATCAAGGAAATGCATTTTATTCTTTACCACCAGGAGGATCCCGCAGGCCCCATTTGATAAAGTATAGGTGCTGTATCTAAATATTTCCATAAATCGGTTGTTAGAGCTAATGGAATAATGTTCATGAGTAGTATGACAGTTCATGCCAATTTCCGTGGAAATACTCATTACTCATAATAAGTTACAAAGTCAAGAAGACTTTTTAAATACAGTCCAGTTAGTTTTTCTGAAAAACATAAATTTTAAACAGCTACCTGAAAAAAACCCCCAAAGTATCAACTTTTAAATATATGTACTCAATAAATGTAATTTATGTGTCTCCTCTTCACAGTAGGCAAACACAAAACAGGACTCCAATTTTCTGTGTTTCTTTTCCACAGGAGAGATAATTCCATTTCTAGAGGCCCACAGAAACAATTTCATGGTTTTAATTTCATCTCTCTCTCTCTAATGGTGTGTCCAGCTATCTGATAGCAATTATCTTACATTGCTGATTCTAAAAACAGCGATATCTCTGGAGGCAATACAGGCAAATACAATGCTCCTTTGGGTTAATCTCCCCAAGTAAATTGATGTTAACACTTTTTTCTCTAGGTCTATAATATCTTCAACACCTAAAGCAAATGGAATTTTCTGTTTTGGATAAATTTATCTTGATAAGGAATGTTTATATCTTGTGCAGTTATTTTGAAACAACTATAATATATGGTGCAGGACAATGGACAATGAAAATTTTTATCTACTTTGTCTTCCCATTAAAAATGCCTTTAGACAGAACAACCAAATGCAATGTATGGATCTTGTTTTGATCCTGATTTGAACACTCTAATATATGTTTTTGGACAACTGGCAAAAAGTTAATATAGACTGGTTATTAGACTGATAGCTAGGAATTATGGTTAATTCAATTAGGTATGATAATGGCATGAGGCTTTGCCAGAAAATAATTAAGGTTTATAGTGGAAAAGGAGTGAAGGCTGGGCTTGCTTTTAAATAATTCAGCCAAAAGAGAGAGAGAGAGGGATAGTTAAGCAAGTGTGGCAAAATCTTCATAACTATTGAATCTGGGTCTACAGAGGTTCTTGATACAGCTTTCCTCTTCTTTTGTGTGTGTGTGGATTTTTCCTAATTAAACAAAACCCTTAGGAATGTCAAGTGAGGATTTGCAGTGCGGATATAACGTATCCATCTCTAATGAGGTAAAAATGTAACCTGACAGGTTAGTTTGGTGACTTAGAACCTAGTAATATGAGGCCAAAGTGTTGGAGCAATTAACTTCACCTGACCCCCTGGCCACAGATGTTGTTTTTCACTCTCATCCACTGCCTGGCAGGGGTCGGAAGGCAACCAGGCAAAACAATCTGATTAGTGTGTACTCATCAATCCCAAACTCCCAGTCTATTCCTCCCCTACCCCACCCTTTCTCCTGGTAACCATAAGGTACACACTACTATATATAAAACAGATGACCAACAAGGACCTACTGTATAGCACAGGGAACTCGGCTCAATATTCTGTAATAACCTAAATGGGAAAAGAATTTGAAAAAGAAGCAAGCAAACAAACAAGAAAGAATGTGATTAAGTTGGCACAAAACACAATAGCAGCAGTTGGTCCAACAACCCCCAGCCCTGTGAGGTAGTCTTGACACTTTTGAATGTAAGAAAACTGAGGCTCAGAGAGGTTAAGAGACTTCCCAAACTGTTGGTCCATAGTGGAGCTAAAATCCTAATTGCAGCCTCTTCTTCCAAGCACAGCCTTGACCCTCCTAGAAGGAATAGGCAGGTGTTCGCAAACAAGCGCTTGGGCAATTATGTGATGTGTATCTACTAACCAGCATATTTTCATGTTCTCCTACAAAGGCGTGAATACTGACAAATGATTAATATCTTTAAAATAACATTTTAATTAACAGTTAATTTCCCCTAAAACATGAATTGTTTTCCCTCAGGATGTAGAACATGACTGAAATTCAAATGCTGAATTTTTGCTGTCTCTTCACCTAAAATGGAACAAAAATATGCATTAAACAGATAAAAGCATAAAAGAAAAATATTATTCCCTGTTAAATTGAGTTTCTTTGAATAACAAGTGTTTGATGTTCTGGACTAGGTAATGACTGGGTCATAATTATTCACTTGGATGCAAAAGAGGTTTAATTCAAATAACTCAATTCAAATTTCACTAATATGTCCTATTGGAAAAAAAAGAATATTGCTCAGTGCATCCATTTTGGGGTCCTCGATTTGATTTTGTTTTTATCTAAAACCTATTTCTTCTTGAAGAACTGAATTTGGTCTTCAAACCCCTGGGGATCTCCGGGGACTGTAGTGGGACCTCTGACCCCTAGGGCCCCATTAGACTCTAAAGGTGACAGAGCTCAGGATGAGAAAGAGCTTTGTTCTTGCCTCCTGAAACATTTCATTCATCGTAGCTATGAAGAAAGGTTACCTTTTATTATGCTTTTAGAAATAACACCCCCCATCCATATTCTTTATGAAAACACAAAGGGAAGATATTTAAATCCATTTTTGATTAGACATTTTTTCTAGGATGACAAGTCATTAACTAGAGGCAAAAAATGTTCAGTCTGACATTCGTTGCAGTCATGGATTGATTTTGTACTGTGCTAAGCAAATCAGGTCTGCATTTGGCAGTTAGGCAATCATTAAGGGAGCTGTGGGTCGTGACAGAGAGCTTTCTTAATACCACTTTTTCAAGCTCTAAAAATGTGCCATTGCCTTTGTAAAATCCACAGCCTAAATTAGCAACCCCCAGACTCCTGGGGGAATCAGCCTGGTCACCCCAGATGGTTGGGGGAAACCTGACCTTGTCTAAACAGTGCAGGAGTGCAGACCCACCCGAAATGGAGCCAGACCCAAACCTGTGTCTCAGCTGGAAATCCTAAGTAGGGAGGTTGCCACCTACGTGGCACTAGTGGAGGCTGTGGGGGACATTGCCACACTTTCACCTGCCAACAAAATCCTGTTTGAGCTCATTCTCCTAAGTTCTGATCATCAGCTGAGGACAGGAAACACTACTGCCCCCTGACAATGTATACTTGCTCCTTCCCCACTTTTAAGCTCCCACCTTACCCTCCTACTGTGGTGGGATCTCTTCATCCCTGAACCCTATTAGCATGCCCAGGCCCTATAACTAGCTTTTCAAGAGATGCTCCCCCCACCACAAATATTGTAGACCTTGATAAACAAAGTTGCTTCAAAACACAGAATGAAAACTGCATAATCAAAATTAAACATTCAACTAAATGTCCGCAAAATAGCATTGTGTATTCAGTCAATTGCAGCTTAAGGCACCTCCTTTGTCGTGCATATAAATTATTTTTAGTGTGGGATGTTTGACATGATCTGGGATGGGGCCCACAACAGAACTCCTAGTCCTACAAAGATCTTCCCTGACCCTGCTCACAGACTATTTACTCTTAACCGAGTGTCCTTCTGTTTCCTAAGTCCCTCTATTCCTCCAGGACAGTGCCCCACCCATCATTCCCAGCCTACACATCTTACTTTTTCCATCTTTCCTCTTCAGTTGAGTCCTTTATTCTTCTGTAGCCAACATAAACTTAATAGCTTGCAATCTCTTAAAGTTAATAGAATTCTACTCATGATTTTCGTTTGCAAACAAGACTCCACTTGCATCTAAGACCACATAAGTCTGCCCTACACCCTCCAAATCTCAAGTTCTTATCGTAGTAGGACTAAATAAGGACTGTAAGGTCCTCATGATTATCCAGGCTGACCTCAGGAGTAGAAGCAATATGGTGACTTGGCCTTCACTCATCATCCACCACCAGGTAACCTCTTCTCTTTTTGCCTTCATTACTGAGATAGCATCTCTCTTCAAAGGCACATGGACAAAGGTAACATGTTACTCAGTTAGAGGTCAGGCCACTGGCTCTGGGCAATGTAGAAACAGGTGCAGGTGTGGTTCCTCCTCACAATGAAGACACTGAAGCGAATCCAAGGGCAACAAGTGGGAGAGGCCAGGGAATGGTTTTCAGTTTTATTCAGTTCCTCTGAGAGGCAAGAGAAATGTACTGAGGAGACAAGTACAATTGTGTTTTTTTCAAATCTATGCCTAGAAATTGCTACCATCTCTGCAGTTCATGGGATAAGGAGACCAATGTATAACATTTAGTAATTTGGAGGGTTAGAGGCGGTACCCAGACTCCATAATACTCAGAAATGGGCTTGGAAATGTTGAGTCCCAAAGCCCTGGGGGGAAATATCTTTAGTACCCTCTCTAGGACCTAAAAGAAAAGGAAATTCCAAATGTGAAGAAGAGATATAAGTAAGTACTAATAAGGAGCAGCAGCATTTATTAAACACTTACTATGTGCCAGGCACCTGCTGAAGCACGTTACTTCATGGACCAGGTGGGCACTTTGGTAATCTCTCTTATGGATGAGGACGCCAAAGCTTGGAATTGCTTAAGTAAGGTTTTGTGGTGGAGCTGGCTTGAAACCCAGACTGTCTGATGCCACAGCCTGTGTGGTCAACCTTGGGAAATGGGAAGGAAGAAACTGCTCCTTACCCAGACATTTTTCCTGCCTGGAACAATGAAACCAAAGGAGAGATGTGGGAGGATCATGCTGGGCATTTCTCCAAACACCTAGAGAGCTTTGGTCCTTCTGGTCCTGGTGACAGCACCTGGAAACACATCTACAGCCAAATAGCACAACTGAATTATCCAGGCTTTGGCACACAACCTTTCTATTGCCCCAAGGGCAAAGCTAAGTCTTGCCCAACCTGCCTGGGGACCTGTACTCCTTCATGAGCCCAGCGTCCCCCATGTCAGTCTCTTGTGACTCCCTCCTTCCCACACTGTTATTCTCTAGTAAGGAAAAGCCACTGAATTCTTTTACTATCCACACCAGGTGTTTGCTGTCCTGGGGATCTTTCTCTGCTTTTCTCAAGCAGCTAGCTGTCACTCTTTCTGAATTTTGATCTCATTTTAGCAAGATTATTTGTGCCCTTGTTTGATGCCTCTCACCAGCAACACATTTCTTAAAGGTGGATATACTATGTCATTCATCTTTGTGTGCTTCTACCAGTTCACTTTTCCCATGTTTATTTTTTTTTATATTTATTTTTACCCTCATGTTTTTTTTTTTAACATCTTTATTGGGGTATAATTGCTTTACAATGATGTGTTAGTTTCTGCTTTATAACAAAGTGAATCAGTTATACATATACATATGTTCCCATATCTATTCCTCTTGCGTCTCCCTCCCTCCCACCCTCCCTATCCCACCCCTCCAGGCTGTCACAAAGCACCGAGCTGATCTCCCTGTGCCATGCGACTGCTTCCCACTAGCTATCTACCTTACGTTTGTTAGTGTATATATGTCCATGCCTCTCTCTCGCCCTGTCACTTTTGGGTCCCCTATTGGTTCATTCTATTCATTCAATAAATTCCGAGTGCCTACTGTGAGCTAGCTGAACTGTTTTCAGCTCCGGTAAAACGGCAGTGACCAAAAACAGCCAAAGTCTTGTTTTCTATCCATGATTTAGTGCATTTCCAAAAAGGGTAAGATTTCTAGGTTGCACGCATGGGACTGGTTCTTCATAATAAAAAAAATAAAGATGTATACATTTTTAAATGCTAAAATTATGACATATCAAATTAATCAAAACTATTCAAATGGCTTTCAAGATTGAGCCTGACTCTCATCTTCCAATCTGTAATATACAATGAAATTATTTAGCTATATTAAAACCATGTAATAACATAATATACATACTTTCATTTGGACCTTTTTTTTTTTTTAGGGAACCAATCCACTGTACAGAGGCTCCACCAGTACCTTTAAAAATGTAACCTATAAACACAGGGAAAAACAAAAGGTAGACCTTTCCACGGATGGATAGAACTACTTTACGCACGGAAAAAGTCTGTTTCACTGATATGAAATGTTAATGCACTATTTAATTTTTCTTTCTTTGTTGTTTCAAAATGAGGTTGGTTTAAGATAATAATAGGTCATTTGGAGATCAGTCATTCTCTGTGTGAAGGTTAGAGACTATGTTGGCAGGTTCAAAATAATCAAGAAGAGAAATATCCTTAAAAAAGGGGTGACTTTGGGGATCATTTCAGGAATACTAACTCTGTTGCATTAATGCCTCAAAAAATCATCAAAATGATTCATAGGGGCCTGATTTGCATTTGAAAAATTTTGAAATTAGAATCTCATTTCTTGCAGGAATACCTGATGTCTTTGTCTCAGCAAAGTCACAAAGTCCATATGCTCACATTATATACTCACACTTGCCAGTGAATTCTAAACTTTTAGTAAATCTGCCCTTTCCTAAAGGAGGATTTTTTTTTAATTTATGAAAAAATGAGATGCTGACTTTTATTTCAGCCGTAGGATGCAATTCTTCCAAAAATGTCCCACGTGTAAGAATGAAAATGAAGTGTTAATAATTTCTGCAGATTTGAATGTACCCAAAAGTCAAGTATTTTGTTTTACAGATGAAGAAGTAATTTATAAATTAGGAAGTCACCAGTAAAAAACAAAAATAACAAGCCTACCATTAGATTATGTTTAATTACCTGAAAAATAAACTTCTATACTCAGTTTCCCTATTGACCCTGAGTTTTCAAACTATTACTCCTTCTGTATTTCTCAACCCATTTTACTCAGTTTTACAGTCATGTAAACCCTGTAAATGTCATGTGAAAGTTTTCATTTCTTGTTAAAAAATTTACTTTAAATGGTTAGACAGCTTATTCAAAAAGAGCTCCAATGGGCTTCCCTGGTGGCTCAGTGCTTGAGAGTCCGCCTGCCGATGCAGGAGACGCGGGTTCGTGCCCCGTTTCGGGAAGATCCCACATGCCGCGGAGCGGCTGGGCCCGTGAGCCATGGCCATTGAGCCTGCGCGTCCGGAGCCTGTGCTCCGCAAATGGGAGAGGCCACAACAGTGAGAGGCCCGCATAACGCAAGAAAAAAAAAAAAAAAACAAAAAAAAAAAAAAAAAAAAAAAAAAAAAAAAAAAGAGCTCCAATAATATACAAAAGGACCATGGGTTAAACAGAATAAAATTTTTAGTGGTTTTAAATCAAACACATCAAGAGTACACAAGTCTCTCATGAGTAATAGGCTTATTTAAATTTACATTCTTTTCTCATTTGCATAACACAGCTTGCACATTTCAGTTGCATATGGTGAATGTGTTACTTTAAAAAGTAAGATTTTACTTGCAAAATACATGTGGGTAATTAGGGATCCATAGGTTAATTGAAGAGATGAACTCTGCAGAATATTATTTTTTATAGTTAATACTGTTTTACAAAACACTTTCATCTCATTTGATCCTCACAAGGAAACTAAGCCTCAGAGAGTGGATAGAACTGGTCCAGAACTGAGCTCTTCTAGCTCCAAGCCATTGCTTCTTCCCACAGGGTGAGACCGACTCTTGTCAGTGAAATGATAGAAAGATTTTGTTAGGTAAGAGATAACTACCATTTGTTTGATAATGTAGTGACTAAGCCAATAGCCCTTAAACTACTGGAATGTAGGTGAGGTCTTGTACTTTTGTGCAATGTTTATTACCTTTGAGTAAATTGTAGTGTGAAGCCTTTTACTAGATGAGTACTTCGTTAGGTAATGGAGGCTTCGTATTTATCCACTGAACTGGCACAGATTAATCTACAGTAAGTCTCTTCAATTCTATCAGTTAGCTTGGTACACATTTGATCACTTGGAGACTTTTTTTTCAGGCTTCTAAATAACTCAGGTAAATTAGACACTTGGGTAGTATACAGTTATACTAAAAGAATTACTAATCACTTGGGAAACCTGAATGGCTGATGTACCCATACGTTCCTGACTGAAGCTCAGGGTCAGTGGGAAATCTAGAGCAAGAAGGAAGTTGCAATACCAATGACACAATAGTGGTATTCATCTCTACATGTGATATTTTTGTATTATGACTGGAATGGGATTTTAGAATATATAAATTTCCTTTGTGTATATATTGGGGAAGGTAGAAAAGAATCTGCTATTTCTCTGAATACTGTTTTGACCCAAGGCTGGACCTTGAAAAGGCCAAAACATTAACAGTAGTACTTCTGTTCACTGAAGAGTTATGTTACGTGATGATAAAATGGGTTTTTTGTAAGTTGTTTTATTGTATTTTGTGTTGACATAAATAAACATGGTAATTTAAACAATGAACCTTAGATGAATGGTAATTCCTTTTATTTACGTGGCACAAAACCCTCTTCTTGGATTTCTGGATCCCGGGATGACCTGTTCTGACCGCCTTGCTGGTCTCAGTCTGGGGCCAAGGGGAACAGAAAGAGGCAGCCACCAAAGGCAGGAGACAGCAGGGCATGGGCTGTAATTTGCTGCATGTTTACAATACTGAAATCACTAGGTTTTTAAACAGGCCTGGACATTACCTCACATTTTGTAAAATCAAGTTCTTTAGGGTAAGTGTTTTGGGCTGAACTGTGATTCTCACCCCAAAATTCACATTCTGAAGTCTTAACCTTTAGTACCTCAGAACATGACTGCATTTGGAGATAAGAAATTTAAAGAGGTAATTAAGTTACAATGAGGTAACCCTAATCCAGTATGATTGGTGTCCTTATAAGAAGAGATTAGGTCACAGACATGCAGGAAGGGAAGATCACATAAAGACACAGGGAGAAGACGGCTATCTACAGCCCAAGGAGAGAGACCTCAGAAGAACCTGCCAACAACTTGATCTTGGACTTCTGGCCTCCAGAATTGTAAGAAAATTAATTTCTTATTTTTAGTCTCCCCAGTCTGTGGTATTTTGTTATGGCAGCCCCAGGAAACTAATACAGTCAGGTAGTGCTGTCTTCCTGGGCATCCATTTGTATTGGGTTGGCCAAAAAGTTCCTTTGGGTTTTTCTGTAAGATGCTATGTGAAAAACTCGAAAGAAATTTTTGGCCAACCCAATAGATTCCATGATGCCATGCTCATTTTCCAAATCAGAAAAATTAAGCAGAGAGAGACCAAATGCTCACAAAAGGAGTCAGCTTAGAAAAAATCCTTTCCCTCAGAAAGACCCTCTCTTTACAAAAAGACAGGGGAAGTCAAGTCAAGAGTGCTAATATTCAGAAACAAGCTGTTTCTTGTAGACGAAAGGCCGGATGTCTGGAAATCCAGAAACTGCTTCCATTTTGAATAGCTCTGAGAAAGTCACTTTTCTCCTTAGTTTTTCCATCTGTTAGATGGTGGCAGTCCCTGTCTTTTCTAGCACCTATAACAATCCCCAACACATAGCAGGGGCTCAATAAATTCATTCAATCAATATTGTTGAGTACCTAATATATGCCAGACACATTTCTTATGAATATGGATTCAGCAATGAACAAAATAACCAATCCCTATGCTCCCAAGTCGTAGAGAAGAAAATAAACAAATAACTGTACACTATCAGGGTACTGGATCCAGTTTACACACATCCCAGATCCCCTTGTCTCCACCTGTTCCCTGGGTCTAAGCTGGGAGTTGCTCCAACACCTACTCACACAGCTCCCTTCGGGGTAGAGCCCCAGCTTCCACCTAATTCCCCAGGGGTCGGGGGCCACAACAAGTCCTGTGCCCAAGTCCAGAGTGGCAGCTAAACTTGGGTAATTAAGAAAACAGAAATGTTAAAAGAAGAATGCAAGAATAAGTTGATCTGAGTTGAGCCATTAAGAGGAAGGGAAAGAAACAAAATGTTTACCCAGCTAGGTTTGGGGAAGAGGCAGGAAGTTTTGGGGGAAGGGAAGAGAGAGTTTTTGGGACAGCATCGCTGGGCAATATTGAGAATGAGATACATGGGGGTGGGAGTGGTTGGCTGTTCATTTTCAATGTATTCATCCTTTGGGGCCTGCTGTTCCCCTGACAAAGGCATCCTGCAGGGCTCCAAGGCAAGAGTGAGAAGGCCCAGCACCAAGGGGATTTCAGCTGAGCCCACGTGGTGCATTTAATCTGGTCAACATCAGAAACAGTCGTGCCCTGAAATACTCTTGTGAAACCCCCCAAATGGAAGACCCCGAATCCTCCCAAAGCAAGCAAGGGTCCTCTGAATCACTCTTTTCCCCTCTCCACGCCCATTTCTTCCAGCACCTCTTGAAGGGAAATGATGCGAGAGAAGCGATCCCACCAATACTATTCTTTAATTGCAGGAGAAAGTTGATCTCTCAAGAGGGTAAATTTATTTCAATGTTGTTCATAATGATTTTATATCAGCCTCATTTTATGGAAATCTAAACGGGAAAAAAACTCATTATTCATTCCCCTTATTCAGAGGGAATGAAAAACAGGGATTAAATGAAATGTGATAAATAGAAATTCTCCCTTTTATTAAATTTCATTATACAGCAGCACACTCAAGCCAACACAGTTAAAAAGCAAGGGAACTTAAGTGGCCGGAGCCTCCTTTAATAGCTGGGCTAGGATGCTCTAGTACTAAACGAGTAGAGTTTTACATGAGGCCAGGATGGTGGACAGTGGTCAAATAGTCACTACTTGGGCCAACGTATGAATTCTTCTGAGCTGTGGACTGTAGGCTGTTAAATGTGGGCTGTAGGCTGTTAAATGTGGACTGTAGGCTGTTAAATGTGGACTGTAGGCTGTTAAATGTGGGGTGTAGGCTGTTAAATGTGGGCTGTAGGCTGTTAAATGTGGGGTGTAGGCTGTTAAATGTGGGCTGTAGGCTGCTAAATGCCGCCTCCCTTGTGCTTTAGAGTCATCCAAATGTGAATCACCCTAGGCTGAGCGAAGGGTCAAATATGTGATCTTCTGTTCTCTCCCACTTGGCTGCACAACCAGCAAAGAGGGAGCAGCATGGGCAACTTAGGAATTCTCCCTCTTAAGCTTGTCCCGGAGCTAGACCCTGGGAGAGACCGGGCCCTGGAAGGCACAGATTAGACTCACACATGCTCTTTGGTGTTGTGAACAACTTCAAGGCTTTACAAATCCCACAGAAGTTCTAGGTCAGTTTGA